CTCCCAGATCTCCAGATGCATTTGAGATATCAAAAAAGTACTCCAGAGTGTTGTTCAGCATGGGGTTGAGTAGAAAATGAAGGCTAATCATGTTTTGGGTGTACTATTCCTTTAAGAGTAGCCCTGGTGTGTTTTTTTAATGGTCAAATTCGATAAATCAGAAAACACCTTCCGATGACGATTGTTTGTCAGATTAAAATAACCTTTGAATGGTATTAAACACACTTTTCTTTAAGCCCAGTTTTTGTATTAAAGCTGGTTTTAAAATTGATCTGATTTAATATTCTTATACTTAATCATATTTTATCAACTGAAAAAAGAAAAACATAATTTAAAAGAATGTCAACTTAAAAACATAACTTTGTGAGTAATTAATATATGTAATGTGTTTCACCAGAGTTTTCTGAAATAAATAAACTTGGCAATAATATTGTAATTTATTACAGAGAGACGTAAAAAGCAGCAGTTGTAAATACTAGATGTTCTGTACCTTTAAATGTAGAATAGTAGAACATTAAATTAGAAAGAAAGAACAGATTCAGATAAGATGCTAAAACTTTGTTTATTTTTTTACACTGAAATGTTCATACGCAGATATATAAACGTTCTTTTATTTCACAAGAAGCGGTGCGGTTTAAAAGTGGAACTGGCTTATGGCTCGTTTCGTGCAGACGTGCTTTTTCAGGCTTTCTTTCATACAGAATCTACTGAGCACAAAAACCACACAGATAAAACAGAAAATTCTCTGGTTTTCCGTGTGGTTTCGTTACATCTTTAATGTGACAGCTGAGTACCGTGAATCCCCAAAGCCTGCAATGCATCTCAGCTACTATCGCTAACAGAAGACCTGCAGCCTAATACGTGTGTGATTATTTGTCAGCCACTAGATAAACAAGGAACCTTTGTGGTTGAAAAAGCACGAGACCTGGGTGCTGCTTCAGATGCTGAAGAGCAACAAGAAACACCTGTTCAGGTAAGACAGAGCAACATCAGCCTGCCTTGTGCTTATCATCATTTGCCAGATTTTGTTTTGTAGGAAGGTTTTAGCTGCATACAGATTAACATGTTCTAAGTAACGGCAGTTCTATATTTAAAGGATCTAATAGTTTATTATTATATGCATGTAGCCTCTGTCTTGTCTAACACAGAGCCTGAGGACAGGTCAGGGGATGATGGACAGCTGGTAGATTAGTTCGGCCAGAGTCCTGACTTTACCCTATAGAGGAAACCATAGATTAAGGTGATGGTAACGAGGCCTTCAAACCTTAAATTCAATTTAATTCAGTATATGTATATAGTGCAAATTCACAACACGTCATCTTAAGGCACTTTACAGAGACAATTCACCCAGATCATAGTTACTATCTAAGGAAAACCACCTGATTGCATCGACTCATTGACTGCAATCCTCCACACCAAGCATGCTTGTAGCGACAGTGTAGAGGGAAAAACTCCCTTTTAACAAGAAACCTCCAGCAGAACCAGGCTCAATGTGTGAGCAGCCATCTGCCGAGGCTGACTGGGCTTCGAGGCGACAGAAGCAGACATACAGAAAAAAGCAGAGATACAAAAAGAAGCAGATATACAAAAGGCATCTGTCAAACAGCTCCATATTTTGCCCCGTGCTGGAAACACCCAGTTAGGCAGACAAGCTCAGAGCCAGCTTCTATGTCAGAGGATAAAGGAGAGCACATAGAGTTGGTTAGAGTCAGAGAAACAGGACTAAAATCTGAAAATTTTGGCATGCAGCCCTTTTCCCTCTGATACCCTTGAATAAATTTCAGTGCTACCAACCAAGCTTTTATCAGTTAATCAGGGGATATGTGTGTGTAATTTGATCTCAGTATAAAAGCAGATTTTATTTTATTTTTTTTTGGAGAATATTAATGAACAGACCACATTATTAGGACGAGAGAATACAGCTGACAGGTCAGGAGGTAGGCTGTCAAAAAGTGGAAATAAAGTTGAGTTATAACACGATCCTCCCAGGTGCAATAATCAGTCAATGCAGCCAGTAACTCTGAGCAACTGGTTAAAGCTACAAGCCATGTAGGGGGCACGGTAAAGGCGGAAGAGGATGCATTGATCACACCAGACCAAGTTTAAACTTTTAGAAGCAAAGACTGTGACTGCACATCAACCTTAACATAACAATCCTCACCAGGAAACATGGTGTTGGTGGGATCATGCTGTGGAGCTTTCTTCAGCAGGGAGAGCACAGCTGTCCAAAGAGAATATACAGACAAATGTAATACTCAGACAAAATACCTACAGACAAAATCAGAATCTTTAGATGTAATGCTTACAAAATATAAGACTCCCTCAAAACGAAAAAAGGTCAAATATTAAACCTTCTTTGAGAAAAAACAGAAGAGAAATGTGTGGAAGACAGATTAGAGCACTTGCACAAAATCTAGAAATATTATAAACAAACAATATATGCATGTAAATGTATCACGTAGTGTTTTCATAAGCTTATGCGTGATTGTCTGACAATGGGGGAGCATTGCCTTCACAGTTTTGAGAAGGAAGCTATTTATAAGTCTATTCATTTAGGATTTAATGCTCCAGTATTGTTTTCCTGAAGGAAGTGGGACAACCGGTGCATTTCCTCTGTTTTAGCTGCCAGATGCGTGTCTTGTGTAAATGCACCTGGCCCTTTTCTGGATTCATGCATCATAAACCAAGTCATACAGTCAGATCAAAAGAACAAAGTTGTTTTTTGTGCTTAGCATATCTAAGTTGAATCTAGAATCCGTTCACATCGGTTCTTCTGTAGGTTCTGTAGGTATTTAGGTTCTAAACATGTGGAACTGGTTGGAGATATTCTTGAGATTAGTTGTAGGTGTTAATGTAGGGAAATATAGCTTTTAGGTATGCATTTGTAATAATGTTAATTACATGTCTTATTTGCCTTATTGTTCATGATCCACAAAAAGTTTAACATCTTAATGTTAGTTGTAAAAAAGTCCAGCACTCTAAATAGTTTTGCAAATTCTTTTTAAATGGTGTTATTGTTTTGGTAAAGATCATAACACAGCTAAACCCTGATAGGCTGAGTTAGTTGCTTTTTTTGGTCGATCGCTTTCTGTTCTTCTTTTCTTTTTGTCCTCTTCTGTTCTTTTTTTCTATTATTATTTTAGTTCATAGAAAACTATTTATGACTTCTTTAAATCCTGCATATTTTGCCATAAATTCCTCAGGGTTTTTTTCCCCACTGCAGGATATAGAAGCAGCTCTGAGGCAGATCAGAGACGAGAGCAACAATTATTTGAAGAAAAGGAACAAAGATAAGGTGAGATTCAGCCTGATAAACCTTAGACTTAGACTCAACTTTATCCCTTGGGATTACTCCTTCAGGGAAATTCTGGTTACAGTAGCTTATTTAGAGCCCAAAAGGAGTTAAAGTAAGATGCCATTAAAGATAAAAATACAAAAGACAACAGAAAAAGAGTGTATATAGTACAAAAAGCATTAAAAAAATTTGTAATATCTAGAAATATGTTTCCTTTAGATATAAAAATATCTGCACAGTGCTAAGGAAAGACTAACCAGTAGTTGACTTGGATTATTGCACTTGTACTGCAGAGATGTACTGACCTTATAAATAAGTAAAAAATTACACAGGTTACACAGTACTTGGCATGTGTTATTGCACAGTGAGAGAGAAGAATATTGCACGAGTGAAAATAGGTAACATTAAGTACAAGATGTCAAAAACTTTCAAAAGAATGGATTTTAATTTGAACAATATATCAGTGCAGCATTGAACACCAGTCAGATCTAACAGGACTTGAAAAATCAGCAAATGGGCAAAATATATCGAGTATAATCAGCTTTAGGTCCCCCATTAAAGGCACAGCATGTGTATTAAACGGATTACTATTATTTTTATTAAGTCTTAACGATCATCATCAGTTGACAGCTTTATCTGAGAAAATATGAAGTAAAAATGTTTGAACTTGACTGAAACATCTTAATTTTTGGACTTTTAATACCTGCAGAGAGGAATCACGTTTGAGATCCGGTTGGATGAAGAAGAAACCAAAGACACCGGAGAGGAAAACACAGAGGAGATGAAAAGCAAAGAGGACGAGGTAGAAGATAGAGGAGTCAGAATGAAATCTTTTTCTCTAGATGTCTTCCTTCTTTTCTTTTCTCACTCTGATCCCAACTCACCAAACAGGAAGTGGATCGTCTCAATCATGCTTTAAGCTTCCAGGAAGGGGAGGAGTTAAAACTCAAAGATTGGTCAAAGGAGAGAAAGAAGTGGAGCCAAAGGATCCCTCAGACTCTGCTGGACGACCTCGCCAACATGGACATCAACTCAGTTTATAACACAGCAGCAGCTGAGCCTGAAGAAGGTGCAGCACTCAGGAAAAGTGAAATATCCTGCCCATTTTGAAAAATCTTGTCATGTTTTAGTTGTATTTGTTGTGAACTGCTACTGTCAGCGGGCGCTGACCTGAATGTGTCTCAACCTCTCAGAAGGTCGCAGGCAGTGGACCAGAGGCCCGGCTAACTCCCTGCTAAACGCTCTCGCTCAGAATCAACCTTCATCACCTCTGGACTCAGTCATTGCCGGTCAGGCATAACAGGAACATTGAAAATGATTTTAAAAACCATCCAAAAAACCACACTAAAATGTTTGTCCTTTTAGATTTTGATGCAGTGGAGAATGAGGAGGATAAAGAGGACTCAGATGTTGAAATGGACAAACAGCGTCTGGAGCCAAGGTCTGATGATGATGACACGTGAGTTCATCTCTGAACACTGGAATTGCTTTTTTGAATATGCCCCGCTTCCTTTAATTTCCTTTTTAAAGATTTTACAATGGCAGGATTACAGCTTGGAGGAATGATGATGATTAGGAGTGTGAATCTGCTCAGTCAGTATAACAAATAGTTTTAAAGAAATAGAACCCTAACCTTGATTTGCTGTATAATAAAAGCCTAGATATTATAAAGGGGAGGCAGAAATAATTACATGCAACCGTCTTTGTTCAGGAATTTTGAGGAGTCAGAGGACGAGCTGAGGGAGGCCGTGCGTGACTCCATGAGGAACCTTTTCGTTATGGAGAACTCCAGCTCAGATGAAAATGAGCAGGAGAAGTTAAAGGAGGCTGGAGAGGCAGAGAGGAACAGCGGAGGGGCAGTTAGTTCCTCAGGTGAAGACTCACCAGGACCTGAAAATGATGTTTCTACTAAATCTGAACAAGATCCAGATGGTCCAACTGATTCCCAGCCAGAGAAGAACACGCCTCAGAATAAGCATCAGGCTACATGAGTCCTTATTTCAGTGAAACACTGAACTGATCTACCTGTAAGTTAGAGATGGGATTACTCTGAATCATTTGCCCAATAACATGAGAAGGAGTTGAAAGCTTTGCTCTTGGTAAAACAGATAGTTACAATCTTTATTAGTGTAAGATATACATATTAATTTAGATTGATAATTTAATTTTTTTGTGTTACTACCTGCAGTCCTCATAATATTATTTAGTTTTAAATCCAGGAGTAAATAAATAAATCTTGAAATAAAACAAAATAAACTTTTTGAATAAAACGGGTCTTCTTATCAAACAGGTCATTAGTATTTACTGTGTAATGTAGGACAGAATAAAAATAGGGAAGTTTCGCAGGACATGCAACGTTTTTGGATTCTTGTAAATTTCTTGTACTTCTTCCCCTACAGTGGGGACTTATGGAAGGTGCCGAATCACATTCAACAAACGTTTCAACTTCAGAAAAGGATCCATGTAAAACTCTACAGAAGAGGGATCCACAGCTTCTTTAATTCCAAAAGGGAAGGTCCTCTTTGAGTGTTTTATTTGACTAACACATGGGGCATCACTGTGTTGCCATAGCAATGACTGGGTCCCATTCTCTATATCCCATCCACCTTCCTTTCCATAATTAAGGGGTAGTGCATAGGGGCGGTTTGGGATTGGGCCTCCCTACATCCCATGTTGTAATGGAGACATTGAAAGGGACAAGTCCAATCCCTGATTTAGCAATGTTACTGCTAAAATAATGATTTTAAAACTGTAACAAGAAATACATTTCATACAGATACAGCGAGGAAAATAAGTATTGGAAAACCCTGCTAGTCTGCAAGTTCTCCCAATTAAAAATCATGGAGGAGACATAATCACAATATATTACTTTTTAAACAATTTATTTATATGATAACACTGCAAATAAGTATTTGAACACCTGAGAAAATCAATGTTGATATTTGGTACAGTAGCATTTCAAATTACAGAGGTCAAATATTTCCTGTAGTTTTTCAGCAGGTTTGCACACACTGCAGGAGGGATTTTGGCCCATTCCTCCAAAAAGATCTCCAGATCAGGAAGGTTTCTGGGCTGTGGCTGAGAAACACAGAGTTTGAGCTTCCCCCAAAGATTCTCTATTTGGTTTAGGTCTGGAAACTGGCTAGGCCACGCCAGAACCTTGATATGCTTCTTCCAGAGCCTCTCCTTGGTTATCCAGACCCTTCTTCAATGCTCTGACTAAGGGAAGGAGGTTGTTCCCCATAATCTGGCAATACATGCCCCCAATCATCCTCTCCTTAATACAGTGCTGTCACCCTGTCCCATGTACAGAAAAAAAACTACCACCCCCATGCTTCACAGTAGGGATGGTGCTTTTGGGATGGTACTCATCATTCTTTATATTTTGGTCTCATCTGACCACATGATTTTCTCCCATGACTCCTCTGGATCATCCAAATGTTCATTCTAAAAGCAGGGGAACCTGGAATCTGTGCCATGCACAATTTCAAACCATGACATCTTAGTGTGTTACCAACAGTAACCTTGGAAATGGTGGTCCTAGATCTTTTCAGGTCATTGTCCAGTTCCTCCCCTGTAGTGCTGGACTGATTTTTCATCTTTCTTAGGATCATTGAGACCCCACAGGCTGAGATCTTGTCTGCAGTCTCAGTCTGAGGGAGATTGACAGTCATTTTTAGCTTCTTCCATTTTCTACTGATTGCTCCAACGGTGGACCTTTTTTCACCTAGCTGCTTGGCAATTTCCCCGTAGCCCTTTCCAGCTTTTTGGAGGTGTACAATTTTGTCTCTATTGTCTTTGGACAGCTCTTTGGTCTTGGCCATGTTAGTAGTTGGATTCATACTGATTGTATGGGGTGAACAGGTGTCTTTATGCAGCTATCGACCTCAAACAGGTGCATCTAATTTAGATAATAAATGGAGTGGAGGTGGACATTTTGAAGGCAGACTAACGGGTCTTTGAGGGTCAGAATTCTAGCTGATAGACAGGTGTTCAAATACTTATTTGCAGCTGTATCATACAAAAAAAGTCATTTATTGTATTTCAGGATTTTTTTTTTTAGATTTTGTCTCTCACAGTAGACATGAACCTTTGATGACAATTTCAGACCCCTCCATGATTTACAACTAGGAGAACTTGCAAAAATAGCAGGGTGTTTAAATAACTATTTTCCTCACTGTATATAGTACATTTCAATTCAATTCAGTTTATTTCTATAGCTCCAATTCACAACACATGTCATCTCAAGGCACTTTACATTTCACCAGATCATACAGTCAAATTGATTCAAAGTTTTCTATCTATAAAATATAAATTATTTTAATAATCACCTGAAATCAACAGTTTTTTCAGCACAGGAGCTCACTTTTTTAAACCCTATAAACCCAATAAATGTGTAGAATTCAAACAGCAATAAGCCATGTGCAAGACATGAGGAGATGACTCAAAAACACACATTAGAATAAACAAGAACATTGATGGGGGGAAAAGTCTAACTGGATCACAATACCACGACAGAGAAAATGAAATAAAGGCATTTTAGAAAAAAGAAAAGTATTCAGCCATTTTATATTTTGCTTATAGCTTTTATTGAAAGCCTTTGTTTATAGATGTTGGGGGTATTTTTCAGTGTAGTCCGGTTTCTCTGACTCTAACTGCATGCCCTCTCTTTATCATTTCAATATTTCATTTAGCATAGGGAGCTCCTGACATATAAGCTATACAATTCCCCACAATCCGTTGCACAATCCTGTGTCAAACATACACATATAGGCATTTTTTTATGTTTTGGTTTGTATAATGTTTCAGCTGTTTATTACACATGCTACTTTTGTTTTAGTATCTTCTGTTTTAACTCACATCACCTATGTGTGTTTCTGTCCTGTAATGACATTGGCGAAAAGTAAAAATCAGACATGCAATCTTGACTGTGTTGGAGTACATTATATTTTACCTTTCAAATGTACCATTGCTTGAAGAACTGTGAATATGCAAACCTTAGTTTGTTACCAGTGTGAGGGAAGGTTTGGCCTTAAGAGTAACCATGCAAATAGATTCAGCTACTGCTGTTCGCAACTGCAGACTTAAAAGAATAACATAACTCCCTCTGACACCTGGATACTTGTGATGATAAAGGGAGTCATGGTCAAGGTTTTTATTGTGGGAACAGACTGAGTTTACGCGCTGAATCTTCCAAAAGATGAGGTGATTTAGAAAGCCTCCGACTGCTTCTGAAGGTTGAGGGGAAACAGGTAGGAGATGCAGTCTCCCTTATCCATTGATAAATAAATGTCTTGAACTAAATCTCTAACTCTTAGTCATGACTTCACTGTGTCAACTAAATTAATCTTAGGGAGGCAATGTGGAAAAAGAATATCCTGTTATTTAATTTGAGCAACATTCAGCAGTTCAGACCAGAGTTCATTTTCTATCTAATATGTTTTCTTTTTGTTAACTGCATGATGAAATGTGAAGGAAGAGAGGCTAGGCTTTCTTATGTAGGATTATGTGCTTAAAAACACCTGTTCTCACCTTGATGGTCCAGCTGTTTACTGCCTTCTCGACCTGTTGTAACTGTGACAGGACAGTGATTTAAAGAGAGACTGTTTTCGGTTGATAAAAAAACACTGAGATTTTTCATCTGTTTATTTTTTAGCGAGCTTCTTTCATCACTGTCTGCACTGACAATATGTGGAACACAATCATTCACTACAAAAACATCTAAGAATAATTTAAAGTTTCCTAAATTAAGTGAATATTAATAGGTACATCCATGATGTGCCAACTGAATGAGTATATTGCTACTTAAAATAGATTGGATATAATAATAAAAGATTATGAAATTATGTGTTTTTTTTTGTTTTTTTTAAATATAAATCTCATTCCATTGACAAACTATCGTACTTACCTGCTCAAATTAAAGTAGGCTTATTTACAAAAAAAAAAATAAAAATACACTTCAATTTCTATTTTTTGTAAAGTTTGGCATGTTTTCTTATAGATCTGCAGTTCCAAATGCAAAAACCCGTCACACCGAATGCTTTTCTATCAAAGACTGATTTAAAACATCAAATTTTTACACAAAAACATTGTAGTTTAAACTTTATTTTTTTCATGCTTACAAAAATTACGCCTTTTTGCTCTAATTATATTTGCCCTCCAATAACACCTGCTTCTTTGCTTAGAACAGTAGAGTTGAATAGTTTCAGTTTTATTTAAGACTGTTAATGAAAACTTAAAGAAGTCATTCATCATCATTAAAAACTTGTTCCTGGGAACTGATCAGTTTTTTTTTGTTTTTTTTAACGATCTGCCTGATCCAGCACATGGCTGCTTGCATCATTTCTACTGATCTGTGTCATTTTCTTTTGTTAAAAAAATGTGTGTCTGTGATCTTTAAGCGGTAATAAACCTACACCAATATATATGTAGAAGTTATTTTAGAAATCCAAAAAGGAGGCTTTTCCAGATATTTGCCTGGTACTGCGTGTTTTGTGATTTTTTTTTTTTTAACAGATGCAACATGAGAAAAGAAAAAAAAAAAAAAACACATGTTCAGGAGGTATTTGGTTTAACCTACTTTTTATACCAGGAGTAAAAATATTTTGTTTCTGGTCTTTATATTGTAATGAAAGTCTCTGACCACAAGGGGGCAGCACACAAAAATTTACTCTTTATTTTTACAGTATTATTCAAGTGTATTTTCATATCTCCAACAATATAAACATTTTCTTTACATAAACTTAAATAGCTTTAATGCCTCTTTAATAATAATGGTTTTATTTAATACCATTTATAATAATATCATGCCTGGATTTTATAAAAGGGTGAAGGAATGCAGAGAAAAAAATCATTCAGACAATATAGATAGATTTGGCCATAACCTCAACTCAACCTTCATCTTCAATAAAACAACAGAGATTGCACAAAGTAGCAACAGAAAAAGCCCCATTTAACTAAACATCCACTGAGATAAAAATAACATTTAAATTTCTGTTTTAGAGATCATTAAATAAGGTGACACATTCAGGAAAATAAAATTATGTAAATACAAAATTTTTTTTATTTTTGGATAGAAAGACTAAAGAAGAGCAGATTTTAAGAAACAATCTTCTGTAATTCTACCCAGAATCAACATAAATTTGATCTCCAGTGCAGAGATGCACTAAGTCCAGCTTAGTTTAGACACAAACACCAAAAGTCTTGCTGCATAAGTCAGCCTGTTATACCTATACTTGGAGGCAGGAACCAGATGATTGACCTATTAAACAATTATTAAAAAAAGTTCTATCTTTTTTGGGATCAAATATCAATGCAAAAAATTAACTATACCTGGATTCCTGGAGGGGATTTAAATATCTGTGTCTTTATTCCTAAATTATTTTTAAACTGTTCAGGGAATAAACATCCACCTGCAAGCCTGTTTAAATCAGAACATGAAGCATGAGGTGAAGCAGCAGGGGAGGATCTGCTTCTTCTTCTCATTCTGCACACAGTGGATGTTTTATCCGTTTTTAAACTGGAGTTCTGGTGAACAAAGAAATTGATTATTTTTTACATTTGTTCTTATTTCCTGGTAGTTAAACTAATAATGAGGCACCTTGTTACACCATCTTATTCTGTTTTAACCGGACATGAATCCCAATTCAGCAACATCAGGAAAAGACATGAAGGAAGCAGGGAAGCTTTGAACGAGTCCAGAGTTTCAGTGAGGTCATGAAAAGAAAGCAGAAGGGAAGTTAGATCTGTGCCACCATTCTGTTCAATCTTCCTCACCTTCACTACAAATTCAGCCTGATGGTTCTCTGCACAGACAGAAAACCTCCCAATTCCTTCCTGCTCCCTGGTGGACACCACCTGTTCTTCCTCATCGGACCACTTGATTCAGCAGAGGCTCAGTGGCAGCAAGGAAACAAGCTTCGAACTCCTGGTCTGAGAATCGACTCACTGATTCCCGGGCTGCGCGTTTTATCTCCAGTTTAGCCGAAGGCGACAGCGACAGGATGGTCTCCATGGCTGCGGCGTAGCTGTCCTCACTGTCTGCCAGGAAGCCCGTCTGCCTGCCCTCGTATGGCACCACGATGTCAAGCTTCGGACCTCCTGACTTGTGGGCCAGAACGATGGTACCTGCAGCCATGCACTCCACCACACCTGGAGACAGAGAAGGGGTGGAAGACTTAACCAGGGGATCTGATCCACTCATCACAAAGCGGTTCAGTTCACAGGGCAAACATCTGAACAGTGTGGCATGCTTGTGTTTTCAGCCCCTTTTCTCTGTAACCTCCATGTTAAACCTATGGTTCTTTTTCCATTGAGATTCATTGATTGGTCATAGTATGGTTAGAGGGGACATTTATCCAAACAGAAGCTAGCCCTGGTTATCACTCAGACCACCTCAACCCCTACTGCAGACACGGTGAAGGCAGCATCATGCTATAGAGATGCTTTTTTTTCCTACGTTAATATATATGGGGTAAATACTCAGGGATTGTGAAGGAAATTTGAGCTGATGATGATCTGGAAGGAAGAAAATCATCCATCCATCCATCATGTTTATCCCTGCTGGGGTCGTTGAGATGCTGGTACCCGTCTCCAGCTTTCAATGGGTGAGAGGGGGGGTAGGAAGAAAACCACCTAACAATATTTCCCCTTCAACATTACAGACTGTTTGTACCATTAGACTCTAAAATCCACCTGAAATGCAACCTGCGAGATGAAACCCTGGGATCCTTACCGATGCCAAAGTGTTCGTTCCACATGGTGTGCAGCCCGATGCTCGCGTTCGCCAGCTCCCTCTTCAGCTCCTCGAAAGAAACGTTGAGTTTAAAGTCTACGCAGTCTGAGATGCCCAGCTCCTGACAGAGTCCTCGCAGCATCAGCACCCTGTCCTCGTCTTCTTTATTCCTGCAGCCTCCTATCAGCACCAGCCGCAGCGCCTCCCTTCCCCCGGGCCCCTCCCTTTTCCTGTCCATCAGCTTACGGAACGCCCTGATCTGCAGCGGGTGGTCCTTCTCTGGCCGGAACTGACCCACAGAGACGATGGAGTGGCATTTCCTGTCTACCCCTTCAGCTCTACCTTCCTCTTCACTCCCCAGCTCGCCTCCCAACTCCTCCCAGCCTTCCTCCAGCTCCTCCTCATCCTCTCCCTCGAGGGGAACTTCCAGAAAGGCCCTGACATCGCAGGGCGGGTAGACGACGCTGGTGCGGCTGGGCGAGCGCCACAGAGCCAGGATGTGTCCAAGCGTCCAGGTGGAATTCACCATGACGACATCGCTGCAGGAGCCAGCCAGGCCGTAGAGAAGGGCGAAGCAGCAGTAGTACACCACCTTTAGTGCGCTCAGCACCGGGTTTCTGGAGATGAAGTCTGCGTTGTTGAACCTGGGATCATTAATGAAATAAAGGGGGTTTATGGGAAATATTTCTATTTTACTGCGTTAAATCAGCTGAAAACATTTAGTGTGGAAGCAGGGAAAGGTGCAGGTTTGTACCTGGGGTTCCTCTCTCTCACCACAGACAACATGTCCGTGCTGACGGTGGGATAGTGAACATAGCTCGCCACCTTGCAGCCCCCCAAATATCGGAAAATCGGAAGTGTAAAAGCGTAGCCCATGGAGTCTACGTAGAGGTCAGGAACAAAAGCTGTGAGAGCTTCCCACCCTAAAACACACAAACACACCATTAAAGCTGGTTTGATGATAAAAATAAGAAAACCAGAGAGGGGTCCTGTTTGCAAAAGCACCAATATTGACAAATGGTTTGTGGGAGAAATATAATAAAGGTACTGAGGATTAAAATCCCTGATATTAACAGCATAAAGTTAAGCTAATCTAGACTGCTTTTTTTCCTCGATTAGTTAAAACCTATCTTTCAATACACTTCTTCCCATGATTGGTAGTAGCGACATCTCACCCAGGAACATGGAGCCCAGACTCTGGCCAAGCAGGGTGAAGTGGGGGTAGCAGGCAGCCTCCACCAGCCCACGGTGACGCAGGAAGACGAAGGTGGGCGGTCGAGGCAGTGTGATGTTGAAACGCTGCCGCGCCCCCTCCAGGATCTGCTCCCCACTCACCCCCTGATCTCCCGTGTAAACCACAAATGAGACGTTGGGGTACCTGGGATGATGGGAAAAATGCACCGAGAATAAATTCTCCAAGACTGGGATTAAAACAAACGGAAGAGGATAAGGGCCACTGGAAAAAAAAAAAGCTTACTGGTTTTTACATTTTATTTCAGTTTAGTATGGGAAAAAGTCAGAATTCAGTCAGAATTCTGGGATTAAAGTCAGAATTCTGAGATTAAAGTCAGAATTCTGAGGAAAAAGTCAGAATTCTGACCTTTTTCCCATACTAAACTGAAATAAAATGTAAAAACCAGTAAGCTTTTTTTTTTTCCAGTGGCCCTAATCCTCTTCCATAAAAACATGTTAATCTTGGGGTCTAAAAATGTTTCTCAAATGGAATTAGGTGATGTTATCGAATCTGCTGCAGAGGGCCACGTTGACAGGCGGCTCACCATGACCTGACACTTGTTTGCTCACCTTTCCAGTTGTGTAAACAATGAAAGGAAACTTTGCTGCAGTCTGACAGTTTAAATGGAGCAGATTTTATTGACATCTGAGGCAAAGCGGCTGTTAAGAAACTAATGTGACTAAACTTTCTGTCTATTTAACATCCGGACGGCTGGAGCAGTGAGTTACCGGTTCATTAGGGCCCTCAGGCAGCACCACAGCACGCGCTCCCCGCCTCCTCCGGCGTTGCAGTAAGGATGGAAGAAGGCCACCGCCGGGCCGCCGTCCTGGGCGCGGCGGGACTTACGGCGACCCTGCAGCCACATACGGAGCCCCAGCAGGACCAGGAGCAGCAGCAGGCTCAGGGCCAGGCTGAGGTAGACGCAGGGGACAACCAGGGACCACAGCAGCCTGCAGAGCAGCAGACAGAGAACTGAGGCGGGTCGGATGCACCATGGCGGTCAGCTGGAGCCTCCTAAGCAGTTTAAATCCTGTTTACCTTCAGCTGCTACATGCTAGCTATGCTAAACCTAGCACTGTCATCAACTTCAGGAATTAAATTCCTTTATCTCACCTCAACTTTTATCTGCTATAAAGAAGCTTTTATTTATATCCAACTTTATCCTTTATATTGAAAAATGAAAACATACAAACCTCATTAGGTCGCAAAAACACAGAGAGAACTGGTGATGATGATGTCCGTGTCCTGCCATTTTGACAACACAATTTCTGACGTTGACGTCACAACCCGTCAGCTGACCAAGCCTCCGCTTTGTGATTGGCTCAGAGTTTGTTTACTTCAACGTCATCCACATGTGATTTGAGGCAGAGCCTGCTCACTTTTATTTATTAAAAAATGTATTCAATTGAGAAAATAGGAAACCTTAGCTTGCCAAAGAGTGAATTACTATATGAATATTAAAATGAAATTACTTCCTAAAATCACTCAAAGACATCATATTAAATATATATTGCTTATCTCACCCCCCACCAACATTAAAATGATCCACAACAAAAGGCTGTTTTACTTGCTAAAAGAGATTATTGCTCATTTATTGACCAGTAAAATCTAATTTTGCACAAAATTGCTTTATTCCACTCTGTAATATACCTTACACATCTTACTCATCAACATTAAAATAATCCACAAAATAGACAAAACATGACTGTATTACTTGCCAAAAACAGATTTTTGCCTATTTTTTTTATTTTTTTACCTTTACTTATAGTTTCTGTGTAAAATTTCTTTATTCCACTCTAAGGAAATACAATGTATTATATACATATTATTTACTCCAATTTACACTGTAATAATGCATCTATTCACCTAAGAACAGGGAAAATCACTGCTTGACACTACCCTTCCCTTGACACACATCCATGATAGACTTTCAAAATAAGACTCCAGGGACTCTACAAAATAAAACTCAATGTTTATGAGGTGTATCAGTCACAGCCCAAGAACATCCAAACACCTATGGTAGTCGGGACAGACTTCATCCACTTCTGAAGCCCTGCCCTGAGTTTTTTGACCACCTGGTGACTGCAGTTTGGTAATGAACAAGTCCAAACCAAAACATCCAGTCTTCCCTTCCACCAGGAAAGGAGTGTTGGCTGGTTTAAGGAAATCGTCAAAGTTTTAATTCCACTGTCTGACAATGTACTCAGTTAAATTCAGAAGCTCCCGCTCTCACTGAATATAGTATTAGCGAGTGGCATCCCTTATTGCTGGTGTCCAGCACTGCACAACAGGCACAGCAGACCTTATGGTCACAGCTAGAGGTGGCTTTATCAACACTAGAGGCAGACGACATATTCCCCTCAGACTCTGTTGCCTGCCTCCTCAAGAACCTGAGAAAATGTCTTCCAGAAGTAGGAGTTAAATACATTTCTGATAGAAGACAGCCTGACATTCTAAGAAAACCCTCACTACTCGCTTGGGCCTCCAGAGGCTGACTGGCTCCCATCTCTACAAGCGCATCCACAACTCTGAACAGCTCTGCTCCTCTCGTCACCCAAGAGTTGTCATCTTTGGTCGCCTTAAACTCCTTCATCCGAAAACCACGGTCGCCCCTAGAACCTTAGAGAAGTTCTGTAGTTGAATACATACCTGACTAGTGTAAAGACATGTGGTTGTGCACCATATTTATTTTCAAACCGGTTTCTTTTTCTCCTACAGTGTTTACATTTTGATGACTGCTGCACTTTATACTGGTACTGTTTATCTTACTCCATTTGCAATATCAATACATTGTTGTGTTAGGATTGTTGTGCAAAATTATATCCTGCATATAATGAACACATGATTAACTTAAAGCATCAAATAGAAAAGTGGATGGGGAGACACACAGTTCGGCCTCAGCTCTGTGTGGGTCCACCTCACCGGGGATCCGGTGGCTATCAAAACAGAAGCTTTCTCCTGCCGATAGGCTGTGATTTCCGTAGCAATGTCCTCACAAAGGGGGGAAAATCCACACAGCGTTTCAGCTTCGAAGATTCCCGTCTCACCCAGTTCAGTGGGCGTTATGCAGATGGGCCACTGCAATCCGTGACTTTTGACACAGAAAAACAAAAGCTACTTCCACTTAGCTTTCTTTTAGCATTTCATGTGAAACGGGCCTAGGGTTGTTTCCTGTTGGGGTTTCAGCCTGCTTGTCAGCTGACTGGTCCATGTGTGAGCTGACTGTTTCTTTGGCAGGAAGTTTCCAGACATTCTTTGTTCTCTTTCTGCAAAAAAGAAGGGGGATGGCTTGAAATGGTCATCAAATTGATTTGGCTCCATTGTGGTAATATAGCCTAACATATTCCCCCCTTTTAGCTTTGAAGATTGGGTATCCATCTCAGTCTTTAAAGCTAACCAAATCCATTAATCCATATTGCCACAAGATTCCATTTAGTCCTCCAATGGGTGACTTGATAGTTCATTAGAGGTGTGTGCCGGGCTCGGGATTGGCGCTTGGGCAAGCTTATTTCTACCTAGCTAACTAAATGCCATTACAATGTAACCCAACAGTGAGAAGTGGGCATTTATTGTACATTCACCATTGTTCTAGTATTCTTGGTTCAGTGTTTATCTTTCACAAAGAGGAGACAGGAAAGAAGCATGCAAAGAGGAAAGAGATAGATAAAGAATACTAATTGTGATTCATAGCTCATTCTTTCAGGGGTTCTGAATCTGTGGTGCTATGAATCTGGGGCAACAAGGGTGAGGGTGTCTAGTTTGTAGTTCTTATTACCTGGTACGCTGTGTGTGCAGTTGCTGTAGTGATGATCCTGGAAATAAGAAGAACCGTAGGATGGACATTGCATAGCATCTGTGCGGTCATTTCTATGAATAGAGTTTTGTGTAAATCCAATAGGTATCTTAGCTTTGGTGCCGGATCCTAAGTTATGGATCAGATTGAGCTGGAGATTGGTGTCAGTATAGGCTAATTGTGAGGAGTTTTCAGGTGGACATGGATTTTGTCACAAGACAGGGTACCTTCGCCTGGGAATTTCAAACTGTAGTTGCAGTGACACGCCTACGCCACCAGATGGCGCAAAAGAGCGCTACACAATTTGGATCTCCAAACACTGCGATCAACTGAGTGGTTGTAATTACACAGGCTACCACTAGAGGGAGACAGAAATCTTGTTCCGTGGATCTCTGTCAATGTGGCCTACACTGACCCAGTTTGATGTGATTGTTTAAGAACCTATGTAATGCAACAATCCACAATATAGCGAATGTTTCAGTCTCAGGCCCACCCAGGGTCACGCCAATATGTTGTGCAAAATGATATTCTGCAGATAATGAATGAATGATTAACCAGAACTGGATTTGTAGTTGATTATTTCACTTATTCAAAATTGGAGTTGAAATCAATTTAGTGTTCTTAGTTGAATATTTTTACCTCTAATTTGCTTACTTACCAGGGTTTATGCCTTTCACCTTTGGATGGTTCCGTTGAACGGCTGTTAAAATCCAGGTATCCCCACCAATTTAGTGACCTGGGCTTGGTTATCAGCAGAGCTATTAATTATCAATCAAAGAACTATTTGTCTCTGTTTATTGAAACTATTATCAAAAGAGGGTGGATCTGGTCTGAGTGATAACTGATTTGATGCTCAGTTTCCTTCTGTCTCTATGTGATACTGCTAATGACACAGGTAAAGACTTATCCTTTAGGGGGTGTGGGGACACCTCGGTTCCAAGACTCTTATGGTTCAAAGCTGCTGTGGTAACATAGGGTAACCTGATAGACTTGTCCTAACATCAAACTTTCTCTTCCAAGACCAGTAACAGGATGGTTCCTGACTAGTTTCCCACATATATATCCACTCACATAGATTCACACACACACACACACACACACACACATACATTCACTTACTAACACGCCCACACACATGGTTAAGGACTCGCAGGACACACAAGGGTCCACATGGGAATGATGTTTTCTCATACACTAACATTCAAAGCTACAAAGATTAAAGAACTTTAATCACCTTCAATGGGGAGAGGATAAGAATTTACTAAAAATGCAGTTATAAGTTTAGAAGAAACTAAAACTTAATATGCTGTGATATAAAAATAGTTTTAAAACATTGCAATGAATTAAATGTTACCATGTGTAAAACAGGGTTAAATGCTTTCTAGATATCAACAGGTTCCCTGAATGAGATTATAATAGGTGCCAGTAATTTGAGTTTATATGAAAAAAATAATGAGCTGAAACATCATAGGATGTTGAGGTTGAATACATTCTGTTATAAATAACTTTCAACTGCCAGACATTGAAAGGTAAGATATGTTTAATGTTTTTTGAATAACCCTAAAACAATGTGCTGAATAAGCATATAGTCTACTCTACAGATCATTTAAATGTAATAAATTTAATGATGACTTTAGGGATAAAGTGAAAGTGATTGTGCATAAGAATATCTGGTTGTGACTGCAGTTTTTGAGTAAATAACGAATTACTCATTAAAGACACTGCTTATTCTGATAAGAACATTAATTGCACTCTCTTGTGTGCCGGAGGATTCCGGAGGAATGGATCTCTGAACTGTGATGAGAACACTCCATGAAAACCACCACGTGGATTCAGCATCTACACTTCCATCGGACTGCATGGAGATCAAAGGGGCTGTGGAGGAGGCCATAGGAGACTCTGGTTGATTAATTAGATTGATATGTGATAGAAAGACTGAAAGAATTCATCATCGTCAGTGATGTTCATCATTTGCCTTTAACTAGGATAATTCTTGGATTTGCCTAATTGTGATTAATATGTTTGACTTATTTTGATTTTGTTTTGATAAAAAACGTTGAAACATTTTTGCCCCAGACCCACCAAGATCAAGTTTTATGCCACTTTTGCTTTGATATAGAAATAAATAGAACCTGATTAGCTTAAAGGTTGTTAAATTAGTTGGTAATGATAATTTGTAGATTCAAAACTGGGTTTTTCGTGCTCAGATTGGCCGAGATCGGGATTTCCCTGGGGTCACCCCAGTTTTTTACTACCTTTTAGAGATGGTAGGGTTTTCCGATGGAGAACGGCCCGGCCTGTCCTGTGACGTTCCCCACTGTGACTGAATGATTGGTAAATTTGGATAGATGGTTTATCAATGATGAGGGTCACATTTAGTAACTCTAAGCAATTTCTCTAATCTGAGGAAGATTACAATTTCTATCAGAATCTGTTGTCATGTCTGCTGGTAATTTAATAAATAAAAGTTATGAAG